TTTTTTTTTTTGCGAGGGGGTAGGGGAGCCCCCCCCGACTCGAAACCCACTCCCCGCTCCCAAAACCCGCTCCCCGATCGGCCACGGCCGCGGCCGAAAGTTCTCGGCCGGAGCGGCCATGGCCGGGGGGGTCCCGTCCACGGCCGGCAGCGGCGGCTACAACCGAACTCGGCTGCGGCCAGGGGGGGAACATAGGCCCTATATATATACGACCCAATCGCTGTAAGCGGCTTGAAGCAGTGCTGGCATAAACCACCAGTACCTCCAAGCCTCCGTTTTCTGACGCATGATTTTGCCCGCCCTCTAACAAGCCGTTTTGTGGGCGAGAGGGCTTATCGGATACAACAGGCCTCTCTGGTCGTTTTGGCCGATCCCTTTGCGCGACACCAGGGTGCATGCAGGGCAGCTGGGCAGGCTGCTGGGGGTTTAAGCTTTAAACCACCAGTACTTGACCCCACTATTTTTGTTTTTGGTTGAGGGTGTTCACACGCCATTAAACCACCAGTACTTGGCCCATACATCGGCCGCGGGCGTTTCCCGTTAACGCGCCGCGACTGATGGGCTTCGGCTTACCGGACCGCAATGGCTGGAGGCGCCAGCCAAAAGAAAGTCGAAACGGCGCGGCGGCGGCTCGGCAAAACTTGGCGCGCAGGGCATATTCAGGCTCGGCATCAATAGCTGGGCCAAGTACTGGTGGTTTAACTTTTGGCGCTCAGCCGCTGGAGCGAAATGGCTGGCAGCACCAGCCAAAAGGAGGCTTGCGCCTTTTGTTTTTTTTTTGGCACGCAGTGCGTTTCCCGCCCTGGAGAAAAGTGTCTCGGAAGTATTGGCGGTTTAAACTGCTAGTGACAGCCATGTGCTTCACATTTGTGCCAGAATTCTTTGAACAGGATATTTTATTCTTGTGTTTCTGTTCAACCTATTAGTTTTCATGCATACAGCATCATGTACCCTACATTTATTATAAGTCCAGGGCCATTTCTTTTGTTTCTGGTGTCGCTGGAGAGAAATTGCCAAAGTTGAAAACATGTTTTCAACTTTTTTCCGAAGGGAGCAAAAAAAGAGAGAAATTGCCAAAATGGAGACACTTACAAGAAATTATGTGTCCCCTTCCTTGGGCCTCCTCCCCATCCCTGGGGGGCTGAACCTGGTCATGCTCCGGAGTTATCCAGCGGGCTGCCATAGATCATTGGGCATGGTATTTGTGGTTAAAACCACCATACCTTCTTTTTCCTTCCCTGGTTTCCAGGAGGCACACTCCTTTCCTACCATGTACAGTATGGGCCTCGCTCCACTACTGTCCACATGCACAAAAGACAAAAAAGATGGTGGTGTGTCTTTGCCTGTTCTAGTGCAAGATTCAGTCTCATTTTTTTGGTGAGTACAGTATGGGCCTCGCTCCACTACTCTCCCATGCACAAAAGACAAAAAATATGGCGATGTATCTTTGCGTGTTCTAGTGCAAGAGTCATTCAGTCTCATTTTTTGGTTGAGTAGTTGAGCGAGGCTGTATGTATGGGTTAGCCAATGAAGTCGTTCCCAAGGATCCAACAGATCTAACGACTACCGTCTTCACCCGAGTACAACATGTGGTTATTATAGCTTGTATGTGGTGCAAATTCCAGTCCAGATACAGGCATTATTTCCGGGCGTTCTATTCGGATGAAGATGGCAGTAGGTGCATTCCAGTCTGTAAGCTCGTGTATTCTTGCACTCATACGGGATGCTGGACCCTGTTTCCAGCAGGCGCAGCTCCCCACTAATAGATGGGGCCCACAACACAGGGGCCCACTTAAGGAGCGATGCTGTTATACCTCGTAAGCACACTCCTTTTTCAGTTCGTTTGTTGGATTGGCGAAGCGACAACCACACGAAATTTTGCATCCTTGGGCCTCGTACACCTGGCAGGCGCAATCTGACCATAACCCCCCCAAGTTAAACCGCCAGTACGTTTCCAAGCTATCGGCTGCGGGCCCTGCGCGCCGAGCTTTGGTGGCGCATCTGGCCGCCGCCGGAGGCCGAGTGCGCCCTCCGTGTTAACCGCCGCGATTCGGCAAAATGCCTGGGAAAGGTACTGGTTGTTTAACTGGCAAGCATGAATCACCAAAGGGAAGGGTGGACCTGATTTCTTGGGGGGTAGTGCATGGCGTACCTAAGGACCGATGCGAAGCCCACATGTCCTTTCCAACTCCAAACAAATCATGATGAAACGGGTTGGTTCAAACGTTACATGAGATGCACTGAATACGAAGGCAACCGAGGATGGTGTCGGAAACCTGCAGGATCTGGCACAACCTGAACCTAGGTGGCAATGTATATAGATATGTACATATGTATCATTGTATACATATGTTTATATAGTCACGGAGAACTGATTTTCCAGCTGGTTCTTCGAGTTGTCCCGCGGGCTCTTTGGTTTGTCCGGCTGGTTCTCCAGGTCGGGCTGGTTCTGGAGGTTGTCTGGCTGGTTCTCAGGGTTGTCCGGCTGGTTCTCTGGATTGTTGGGCTCGTTCTCGGGGTTGTCGGGCTCGTTCTCGGGGTTGTGGAGCTGGTTCTCTGGGTTGTCTGGCTGCTTCTCCGGGTCGTCCGGCTGGTTCTCTGGATTGTCGGGCTCGTTCCCGAGGTTGTCGGGCTCGTTCTCGGGGTTGCTGGGCTCGTTTCTCGGGGTTGTCTCGCTGCTTCTCCAGGTTGTCCGGCGGTTCTCCGGGTTGTCTCGCTTGTTCTCTGGGTTGTCCGGCGGCTTCTCCTGCCTCGATGTCCAGCTGTAGAGACAGACTGCTTTATGGTGTGCCACACATCGTCCCAGAGTAATAAGGAATTTGAAGAATCACTACCAATGGCTGGGAACTGTAGTGTGTGTGTGTGTGTGTGTGTGTGTGTGTGTGTGTGTGTGTGTGTGTGTGTGTGTGTGTGTGTGTTAAAGTTGAACAAGATCGAATATTGTTTTAATTTTTTGCAGAACAGGGTAGCAATGATTATCCTTTGCGAACCAAAGGGAATTGGCTGCCCTTGTCACTGTAGTTAGCTCGCCTTTTTTTTTTTTTTTTTTTTCTAAATTTGGACCATTTCTCGATTTATGCGTGCCATCCTTGCGCAGAGGCCATGCTAATCTTCTCTGTATCGTTCCAATGTTTACGGATGTCCCAAAGGACTACTGTAGTTTGCTCCTAAAGTGTGGTAATGCTGGTTTGTTAACCGTTTTCCCTTGTCTTTCCAAGGCCACCACTCGCTCGCGTAAAACATAAATCTTGGGCTTATGAAAACGCGCGAAGCGATCACTTCGAAAAACAAGTGATGGAGTGTTGTTTTCTAGTGCCTTTCTTTTGATCACTTGGGATACACTCATTTCTCCCATTGAATGTACGTAATTTTGATTCATAGATTGCAATTGATTAGCATTCAAACTATTTATCATTCCATCTGTCTGATGGTGTTCCTCTTCCGTCGTCCTCGGAATACAACGCACGGTCCTTATCGCTCCATCTAGACTGACAGTTGGCCTAAATACAGGGTGTAATGACTGTACAATCTGTTTGGGGAAAGACGGTAGTAGTCCTCCAACAGAGATCTAATGACCCCCAATCATGACCTTTTGAATGAGGAAAGTTAATTTTAGATGCCGTGCCTTGTGCTGTGCTTCGCAGAATGCATCATGTCCCCTGGGTCCAAGTCCCACTAGCAGTGTTGAGTTTCCTCAACGCCTGAATCTGGACGTGATTGAGGAGATGTGCAGAAATCGCGTTGAGTTTCCTCCATCGCACATCTCCACAAACACGTCCAGATTCAGGCATTGAGGAAACTCAACGCTGATAGTGGGACTTGCCCCCTGCTTCAGGAGAGGGAAGGGATTGGAAAAAAAAAAGAAAAGAAAAGAAAGGGGAACGGATGGCAAATGAGCCACTTTGGCTTTTCGTAATAATTCCAGAAAAGTGAAAAAAAGAAAAGTGTTTTCTACAGTGCATCTGTCATGTCCAGACTGAGCAGCAGAGATAGGGACGAATGGATCCCACGTGCGAAGCAACGGTTCCGAAATTCACACATATCTAGATATAGAGTCGGGCAGTACGCGTCGATGCCAATTGTCTTCCTCCGAATAGCAACTCTGGTCATTATAGCTGAATTTGGGCCAACTTCCAGTCTAGATTTGACATTATCGGCTGTTCGTTCTGCATTCGGGCGGAAGGCCGTAGGTTCTAGCGAGGGCCTCAACAGTTTATTCGGGGGGTGGATAGTTGTAGACAATGAACATACGGAAGAGAGAGTGTGGGAGAGGTCGGGACGGACTCCCATTTGGAGTGCATAGGACAAGTGCACAGTGGTAAAAAGGCTCGCCGTGTTAAAAACTGAGCTACTTGTCACTTGAACAGAATTATATCGAGTACACACAGGGAAGAAAGGACGGACTGCCAATAGGCGGCAAGTGCGGCAGGCATGGGGAAGAAGATGGAGAGATTTAAAAATAGTCAGGCGCAGGGAGGACTTGCATGAATGCTAGCATCAATGCCTGGGCTGGTGGCTGCAGGCGGCACACTCATGAGGAAAGAGGGTATTCAAAGGAGAGTACATGGGAGGAGGGGGAGGAGGAGGAGAGATTTAAAATAGTTAGGGGAAGCCAGGAAATGTATCTTGCTGAATAGGAAAAAAAAGAAAAAAGGACAAGAAGAAAGAAAAAGAAAAAGGAAAAAAAAAAAAGGAAAAAAAAGAAAGAAAGAAAGAAAAAAGAAGAAAACAAAAGAAAACAAAAAGAAAAAAAGAAGAAAATGTGAGGCGAAAAAAAGTGGGGGGGTGAAAAGAAGGTGATCGTCATTGAAGCTGTATAGCTGGCCTGATGGTACCAGCTTACAGCTATAATGGCAATGCCTTTCATCTGTGCAAGATGGTAGCAAGTGAGCCTGACCATGTGCCCATGCTAGATAGATAGATAGATATGGAAGGGGACGTGTGTGTGTGTGTGTTTGAGAGAGAGAGAGAGAGAGAGAGAGAGAGAGAGAGAGAGAGAGAGAGAGGGAAGGAGGGAGAGATACTTGATGTAAAGTACCACATGGCGCATACCCATTATTATCTTTGCTGTACCTGGTCCAAATGTTACCCGGATATAGGTTTGATAACAATGCCTTGTATTTGGAAGAAGGCAGTAGGTGACTGATAATGTGAAAGTGAAGGACAATCTGTGCCAAAACAAATGGGTGTCCGTGTCCCACTTGGTGGACTATCGTCTTCCTCCGAACACAACGCGCACTCATTTTGACTGTATCAGGCCAGAAACATACATTGTATACGTTCATTTTCAGCGTGCATCATGTTTGGGGGAAGACGGTAGGCCAATGGGATGCACAGAGGCCTGGCGTCGTACATAAGATTTTTATCACCAAAGTGTTTCACGTAATACGGATGGTGGTGTCACATCTTCGTGTATGGAAATGTCCGGTATTATGTGCAACGATGCGCAGTTACAGGACTACCGCCTTCTCCCAAATAGAACCTACCTACGGTCATGATAGCCATATTTGGGCCAACGTTCGGTCCCTACAGACACAGCAATATTAACCACACGACGCACACGTTCTATTCGGGTGACGACGGTAGAAGACGTCGGTGGATCTAGGTGGAAGTGGATCAAATTGATAACTTCCATTTTAGGTGCGTGCCCCGTGTTCGGTATATGATGCTATTGCGAACGTCAAGTGTGCTGCTGTGCACTTCATGTACAGTTTCGCTGTTGCTTGAGCGTGGTAACGGGCGAAGGACTGTAGAGTTTTGTGTGTTGTGTTAGCTGTCAGCAGTCTCAGGGCGTACTCACACTAGCAGTATCTCAAGCGTATCTGACTGCGTTCATGGCCATACCTGGATGTATCTGGCCACAAAAATAAGTAAAAGAGTCGTAATGTGAATGTGCTCTCAGAGGAGAAAGGAGGTAGCCTTCCATCACCTTTTTCCTTTTTTTTTTGTTTTTTTTGTTTTCTAAGCCTTCCATCTTTGTGACATTGCCAATCGCATGATAATGACTTCGATTAGTATTTCGTTTATAGGTTAATAAAAGTACATAAGTATATATATATATATTCTATTTGACGATATATACTAGTTAAATATCTGTTTGTGACGATATATAATAGTGAAATTATGATTCTCTCTCTCTAAATCCATGAGGGACGCCGGGCTTCGGGATCCCAGATGGGCTTTGGAACATCATGACTGATGTGGTTAGGGCATACTCGCACGAGGCGCTCGAAATCGCAAAATCGCAAAATGAGTGGCCAGATGGAGTTGTTGTAAACGAAGGACTCAATCTGGCCGCTCATTTGCGGTTTTGTGATTTTGAGGGCGTAGTGTGAGTATACTCTTACTTTTCAAAGAAATGATGAGGAATCCGTTTTTTTCCCCCCTCTTTTTTTTTTTTTTTTCCATTTCTCAGTTTATGTGTGTCATGATGTCATCCTTCCCCCCCCCCCCCAAAAAAAAAACAAGCCATCATTGCAGTCCTTGCGCAGGGCCATGCTAATCTATCTTCTCTGTATCGTTCCTGTTTTAATGGATGTCACAAAGGACCCTCTATATTTTCCTCCTGATGGGATTTTGGTTTGAATTGTGAACACACTGAACGGTGTTGTCTTCCCCTGATTTGACACTGCGAATCTACTGTGACGACACTGCAAATCTACTGCAAGCTGCTTATAAGTGGTGTTTTTTGAACTCTTTTGTACTTCTTTTTCATTGTTTCTTCTTTTGCTGTTTGTGAGTATCCCACAAAGTTAACCTTAGCTGAAGTTACGGTTGCCGCTACAGCCGTCACCCAAATAGAAAGCCGGATCGTTATCGCAGTATCTAGAGATTCTAGACTGAATATTGCTTCGAATAAGGCTATAATGATCAGACGACGCAGACGTGCTATTTGGGTGAAGACGACGGTAGTCCATGTTGCGCTACCGTACACAGACGTAGTGCCATAGTTGATGGAGACGTAGGTAACGTTTTTTTTATATTTTTAAACTAATGCCAGGCTCTGTCTACGAGGGGAGTAGGTAATGTGATCAAGTCGTATTGTAGATTGTATGGAGCCTTTCTGCGTCAAAATCAGATGCTAATTAATTAAGTCTTTGCCACCCAAATTCCCCCAGCACGTCTGGTCATCATAGCCTTATTTGGGGCAATATATTCAGTGTAGATAGAGCGTTCGGGTTGTTTGAAGTGCTGCACGTGCCTGTTTGAAAAAGGAGGAGGGGCTCATGGTTCTTCTTCTGCTTCCTCCTCCTCTACTTCTTTTTCGCCGTCTTTTCCTCTGTCTCATGTTATTGTTGCTCTTTTCGTGAGGGTCTTCATCGTCGTTTGTGTTGTCGTTCTTTGCTATACCATTGTTATCTCTGAGTTGCGACTTTGTCTTCTCTACGCTTATCATTGTTATCTCCATCATTGTGTGTTTTGCTTGTTTGTGCCCATGTTTTGTTTCTGATTGTGTATGTCTCTTGGTTTGCTTGTTTTGACTTTTATGTGTGTGTGTGTGTGTGTGTGTGTGTGTGTGTGTTTTGT